TCTATAGAATTATTAGTTAATGCTGCTTTCCCTTTGGCTAGTGTAGTACAGCTAAGTTATAAAGACAGATTTGTATTGGTAAGTCTTCCAGACCAAAGATTCAGATCATATTTGCCATCAGCAATGTGTTGTTGAGAGTATAAACTGAAAACTCAGTAGTCACCAACCAACAACATTGCCTGAGCACCAGAAAACATGGAAAAGTTCTTGACTCTGGCCTAGTAGGGCTGCCACTTAGATATTTTTGAAATTTAATTCAGCAAATGTCATCATTCCTAATACAAACCATCTTGTGGTGAGCATGCTTTTGAGTGCTCAAAGCAAAGCAGAAAGAAGCACTGGAACTCTGAGGAGTTAGGAATTATTCCCATATTAGGTACTATTTCCACAATGAAATGCACTCCCAGTTTATCCATTTTCATTATGCCAATTTATTGTATTTATGGACTAGGGATGTGTGTTTATATTAAAACCTCATTTTTGTAGGTGCTACATGAACAAGTCATGATACAGTCCCTGTTCCTGCAGACTCCAATGCAGTGCCACGGTGACCTGGAAGCAGAAGATAAAGGACAGTGCCAATGGGGAGAATGTGCAAATTGATGTTCCTAGCAAAAAAAACACATTCTTCAGAGCAGGAAAAAATTTGCTTTTCAGGAGAAAACTGTACAATGTGAAAATGCTCATGGTCTATGAAGACATCTTATTTTTATTTAAGGATGGGTGAAGTGGTTATGAAAGAAGACAAATAAAAAGCCTGAGAAATTTCAGTTTTCTCCATCCAGAGAACAAATATATCAGGTTGTTCCACAGTGACCTGTCAAGCCTAAATTTAAAATGGAAGAAGAGGACAGTTCAGGCTCTGTGCCCATTGCAGCTTGCTCTCTGTGTTCCCACTTCCATCAGCAGCAGGATCTTCACCACTGCCATCTCCCCATCCTTGGAAAAAGGGGCTAAGAAATACTACTCACAGACTTCAGATGTGACAATTAATCCACCCACTGTCTGCAGTGACTTATAACAGCACCTTGCATTTTCCAAAGAGATTTTGGCATGGAGGAGCCTGAAAGTAATTGTTAATGTGTGGAAGTCTTGTGTAAATGAGTCTGTTTGAAAACTGGGCTGAATTGTGTAGCTAGAAATCCATGAAGGACTTCAGGATACACCTCCACTGCACCAAGTGATGGTGGTCTGCAGAGCCCAAGGTGCCCCCAGGGCTAGAATCAGCATAGCCAGGTTGATCAAAGCCTGGCTGAACAAGCTTTGCTCTTTTGCTGCCGTGTAACCCAGTGCCAATGCAGATACACAGCCCTTCCTACCCTCACAGCACCCCTGCATGGCACTGCACAGCAGCACATGGTGGTTCCAGCTGGAAACAGCTGCTGTGCATGTGGTGTGGACACATCTGCAAGTGCTCACATCCCCCTGTCTATGCTGGGACCTCGGTCACTCCTCACTTCTCTGAGACGACCTCAGGATCTGTTTCACAGGAGCTGGTAGGACCCAAGGGGGCAGGTGGGACACCCAAAATAGCCTTAAATTCAGTGTGGGAGATGGAAAGGCAGCTGAGTGAGCAGTGGTGAGACCAGACACTGGAATCTGAAGGTATAGGCAGCAGATTATTAATGAAGAGGCTTGTTTTAGTGTCTTGGTAATGTGGCAGTGAGAAACCTTGTTATTACTGCTTTCAGCACAGAGCGCATATACAACATGGTATTGTGAAATCTTGAAATCTTTGTACACAAATACAGTAGGAGAAGGAAAAAAAGAAAAACTTGGCCATATTTCTGAATATACTCACTTATTCTGAAAATAATATTACAGCCAGAACAGGCCTGCTATATTCAATTCTCATGCCCAAGTCCTCATACCTGGCTTAATAATCATAATGAACTATGAGGGAAAGGTAAATACTCTTCATTCCACATCTCTGAGGATAATAGTAAGAAGGAAGAGATTTCAAACATTGGTAATGACTTGTAGAGCAGCACATTGCTTAAAACATTGACTATGAGCCAAGAAATACCCCTCAAGGCTGCAATCAAAAACAGTTTTTGGCTCTGTGCTGTGAACAGAAACTTTATTTGATCAACAGAGTTATTGCAACAGACTTGCTGTTGAGAGTCTGGAAGCTCATGTCGAATGTAGCACCCCTCACTAAGGCTAAAGCTCCTGCATGGGAAAGCTCTGGGCTCATGAAATGCAGCTCTGGCTCACAGCTTCCAGTTAATTGTGATGACCACTGAGGACAGTTGATGCTTCTCCCTGGCTGGCACAGGAGTCTGTGTAACTTTTCATGGGGAAATAGAGATCTGAGACTGGCAAAAATACTCCTCTCTGTTTTTGCAAGTAGCTGTTGATTTGGGAGAATGAAATCAGCTGAACTGTTTCTTGTGAAAAGCTTCAGCAGCAGTACAAGTACAGGGGCAATCTCTGACCTATAGGCCTTGCCAAGCTAAGAAGAAAACAGATGTGGATTAGCCCCCCTCCTGGCCAGAAAAAAACACCCACCTGCCAGAGAATATTGGCAGGGAGAAAAGGAAGGAACTGAAAATTAATTTTTAATAGAGTTTCTCAGAAAAATGGCAGACCTTCTCAAAGTATTTCAGACTGTTTTTTTTTTTTTTTTTGAAATGCAAAGTAGACATTTCAGTTGAAATCTGGAAAACTGAAGGTCTATTACTCCTATAAATATCTGCCATCAGAAATGGGTTTCCTGCTGGCATCACTAAGGAAAAAAAGAGAGTTCTGAGAAGAAAGGGGGTTGTTAATATCAGAAAGTAATTTTCAACAAGAAACAACAATCTCTACTGATCTGAAAAAAACCAAAAAATTATACTGACTGCTCCTGAATACCACACACTCAACCCCATCCAACTAATTGCTCAGGGACCTATGGATAATTGGCATCTCCATGCTGACAGTTTGGTGATCTGGCAAAAGAGAACCTCCCCCAACCATGGGAATAAAATTTTTAAAAAATGTAGAGGCTCCTGTTCAGCAAAAAGAAGCCAGTAGTGCACAGAGACCTCATCCTGTGTCAGAGACACAAGAGGTCTGATGCAAACCAGACATGAGCTGCCTGAATTCCTTGGGAGAGAAGCTCAGACTATCATGCCACAAGAGAGAGTCCTAGAGCCCAGAGAAGCAACTAGGTGCTCACACAAACCATGTATCAAGAAGACCAGAATACCAAAAAACGAAGAAAGCTAGGAATAAACATATTTTGGGGATATGATGTATGCTGACTGACATCCAAACACTGGAACAGCTTGCCCAGAAAAGTGGATGTCCATCACTAGAAATGTTAAAAGACAGGTCGGATGATCCAGTGAAAGAATGTCCCTGCCCACAGCAGTGGGGGTGGACCAGATGATCTTTGAAGGTCTTTTCCAACCCAAACAAAGTTATCAATTTTATGATTTATTACTTCAGCACAGAAAGCCTAAAAATTCCTGGTTCTGACAATCTGAACTGCCATTAAAAGCAATGTGCCTTTTCCAAATATTTTTTTCAAACAGAGGAACACTAACATCACAATTTTTCCCCAAATAATGGGGAAATTCAAAGAGTTTTCAATGAGTTGTAGAGATTGTGACTTATTCAAATCCAGGCATTATTAAAAGAGGGGATGATAAATTTTTATGTTCAAAGATTTACCTTTCCAACAAGAGGGAAGATAGAGTGGCAAAGTACAGAAGTGGGGAAACACTGGGAAAGGGGAAAAGCAAGCATGAGTCCAGTGCTGCCTTCAGGCTTTATGTTCGACAGAAATAAAACAAGACTCCATAGAAAAATAGAATGTTTTTCTGTTTGGGGGAGATTATATGACTGTTACACCTGATTCCTGCTTCAAAAAACATGCAGTGTCTCCCTTCAGCCCTGCAGAAAGAGTGGAGAGGACACCACTGCTGCAGGAACAACTTTGTAAGCAATTAAAGCCCATAACGAAAGGTAGTACCTACTACTGTGAACAAAAAGCTCATTTGTAATTAAAAGCAAATCCCAAGAAGACTGTGTTGCATCAGTTGGAAGCACACATGGATTTGGGGCAAAGTGGGGAGATCTCTAAGGTTGACACTTGTGTCTTCTGCCTCAATATGCCCAGAGAGGTGTCTAAACACAATCCTGTGCCATGTGCTCTAGGATGGCCCTGCTTGAGCAGGGAGTTGGATCAGATGCCCCACTGGGGTCCCTTCCAGCCTGACACATCCCATGATTCTGTGGTACTCAGGAATTAACCCTGAGGTAAGACACAGGCATTTCACGCCCCCAGTGCTCCCTTGACAGGGTGCTGAGGACCAACAGTGCAGCACTGGTTCCTACTCGTGCCTCTGTGTAACCATGGACCCGTGGCTGGACTCCAAGTCTGTAAATACGACACCAGATCAGGTGCAGGCCTGGTCCCCGGCCAACTCCAGCAGCAGAGCCCTGTGTAGGACTCTCAGAGGCTTGCCCAAAGGCAGTCACTGATGCAGAGGCTCCCCCCATTATCCACAGGAACTACTGAGACCAGGAGAAGTGGCTGCTGGGCTGACATGGCCCAGTGCATTGCACACTGGTCACAGAGAGACAACACAAGCAGGGCCATGGTTATTTCTACCCCATCAGGAAAAGGGTGTCCCCATGTTTTCCTCACACAGGCTCTGCATGGCCCCCTCGATCCCCCAGAGTTCCTGCCTGCCAAGGAGGGAAAGGGGCCTGATGGCAACACTGTGGCTCCCTAGCATGGGTAACATTTGATGGCTCAGGAGAGCTGGGAACAAAAAGCAGGCTTGAAGCAAACAGCCCCATCCCATCCAGCCATGCAACATGACTCAACAGATCCACACAGGCAGGGCTGTGCAGGCTGTGAGTGGAAACCAAACACAGAGTGTGCAGCGGGCTGGCAAGCTGGGCTTTTTTTTTTTTTTTTTTTTTTTTGGTGGAGTCTTATCCTTCTGTTGTATTTAAGCAACACTTCCAAGAGGAAGAAAGGCTGGAAGAAAATACTGACTTACCATGGGGTAGGAGCCTCTCACCAAGATCTGCTGTGCAGTTAAGAGGGAATTTTCCTGTTTTCCTAAAAATGTATACAACTGGTGGCTTTGCAACGGGATGGAGAGAGGGAGCCACACGAGCAGGGAGAGGGCTGAGACAGGCAGGATACCCTGTGGCAGACAGAAGCTCCTCAGCTTGTGTAACTTGCCAGGGTAGAGAATTGCTCTGACAAGTTACACAGGCTTCTACAGCAGCTATGAATTTGATCCTATAAAAAACAAGTATCAACAACTTAATCACATGCCTGGGTCACATGGAAGCAAGGACAACACGCAGTAGCAAATGTTGACTTTTTTTCTTTTTTTTTTTCCAATGTGTTTGTTTTTTAAAATAAAGTGGGAGTGAGGAGTGAAATTTGGGTGGGGCTTTCTACTATTCACGGGGAGGAAATAGAACGTGTTTGCAACAGCTCCTGCTTTGTTTTGCTCTCTCCAGGCTCTGCCAGGCTGGTAATGCTGCAGTTTTTCCAGGACTCCCAGGTTGTTCTGCAGCCCAGAGGAGCCCTCACGCTGTCTCACTGGGACTCATCGACCGAGCCGAGCTGGCGTGGGCTGAGGGCAGGAGCTTTGGCTGAGCGCCTGGCACAGCCGTGAGCCGCTGGCAGCAGTGCTTGGCAGCGCTGTCTTTGGAAAAAGATGACGGTATCCAGAGTGGGCGATGTCAGGATCGCGGCCCGGGGAGGGCCGCGGTGAGGGAGGCCGTGCAGGGCAGCTGCGGCCCGGGAACCTGAGTCATGGCGCTGCAGCGGGCCTGCCTGCAGCGCCGCAGCCTCCGGAGCTGCCTGCAGTCCGGAGCACAGGCCTGGCCAGGCGGCACGCTGCTGAGGGGCTCCCATCGAGACCTGCCTCTTCCAGCAGCGCTGGGAAAGAAATGCTGGCTGGCACCGTGTGCCGCAGGCAGCCCTCCCTGGGGACAGGCCTCTCGCCGCAGCTCTGACAGACACCGCTCGCTGCCTGGCCAGATTTTGCTGGTCACTGTAGGGTATATTTTTTTTCCAGAGACACACGTCCAGATCATCTTGTATGCGAGCGTCTCAAAGTGAAACAGTTTGTTTTAACTCACAGAAACCTCTGGGTTTCATATTGTTCTGTCTCCAACTCCCTTCAGAGACCCCAGAGACTCAAATCAACCAACAAACCACCTTTTGTTTTTCTTTACAGTTTTCCAATGAAAACCCTGTCTTTTCTTTACCTACTTCTGTTGTGCAGTATCCAGGTACAGATCTACAGGTCTCACACTTGTGGCCGGTTTCCACCAATCCCGTTCACATTGGGCATAGATTTTTGCAACGGGCCAAAGTCACAGCAGGTCGCTCAATGGTTTGCCTGCTCCATCCACCACTGGGAGTGCAGCAAACCAGCCCTCCCAAAGCTTTGCTCTCTTACACCATGAGGGCTTTATATAGGTGCAGCTATTTCAGCATAGCTTTACTGATGAATCTTGTGTGCACACATGTAAAACAACCCAAGTGTGCCTACCTGAAGCTGGGAGAGCTGCGTGGAGCCAGGCTTCTGCCTCCTCACACTGCGACTCACACAGCTCAGCCAGCAACCAGCTGTGGGGCACGCTTGGCTCAGTTCTTTCCTTTTAACTCCTCTGGTACAATTAAAGCAGCATAGACTCAAATGTGGCTGCAGTGATGCTGCTATAAAAATACAGGAAGGGAAACTAGATTTAACAGAGCATGACCCTTCATACTTGCATAACTGTTCACACTGGTACTTCTACCAGCATCAATCTCCTTGTGAAAATGTAAATTATATCCCCAGCTGAAAGTCCTGCACAGGCACAGACACTGTGGGCAGATAAGACCCATGTGCTACTCAGTGGGAACAGTTTGTGTCTTGCAAAGTATCCTTCTGGTTTAGAGGAGCCAGAAATATAAAGGAGAATATTTGCTTTTCTTTTAAAAATAGCTTGTTCTAAGGAATGTCTTTTTCAACCATGAGAGAATACAACATGGAAGGAATACAGGACCTAATAACCCACCTGGAAATACTTTGTATGGAAAAGTAGTTTAGCCAATTTGGGGATTGAGCCAAAGAATTATCAGAGTGGCCTTGCTTGATATGATTTGGGTTTGTGGCAGCTTTAACAGCCCAGCAGGATTTCCCAAAGCTGAGGTGCATTTTAAGCTGCCTGTGTGTGTGCCTGGCCCTTTTTGCAGTCCTGGCATTTGGCCAAAGTGATTTCTGTTTGTGAGGGAGTGAAGAAGTGAGGATCATTACAACTTGGAAGGAGTTCAGTTCTTGCTGGATGAGAGCTATGGAGACATAGAATGGGACAAAACAAGTATAGAAATGTACCACAAAGTGGGAGCTGATAAGGAGATGGCATGCTCCTGCAAATTTCAGCTATTTAGGACATGGTTTGCAGGCTGTAGGACAACTCTTATGCAGAAGTAGGGGAACCTGGATGCAGGAAAATCAGAGGTTTCGAGTAGGATCTGTGTGTATCTCCTGCTCTGAAGCAATTGCACATCAGTGGGTCTGTACTCTGACCATGGAGGGGTGGCTTCTCCACAGCTGTGATTCTGCTCCTCATCCTGCATGGTGATGAGTGACCATACACTCATACACACCATAGGAGCAGCAGCACAGTGTTAAAAATTGTGAATTTTCAGAAGTCAACAGCAGAGCTTCTGCTGCACTCTCTTCAAGAGGAGGGAAGAGCAGTTCAATGAAAAGGTAAAGATGGGACACTCCATAACCTTCCTTGCCCCACCAAGTATTTTTTCAAGGTACAAAAGGGCTTCTAATGAAACTATCCCACTGCCTGAAGGACAGAACAAAAGAACTCTGATATTCATTAGGCATCCCAGGTAGCATTTCCAAATGAAAATTTATGGGTCTTTTAGGAATTGTCTTTTGGGATGAGGGGAAAGAGAGGAGGAAAGAAGAAAGGTAAGTTCCATGGAAAGCTGCTATTCTTCATTGAATCTAAAATAGAACTTCTTGGAAGTTTACCAACCAGGCATTTTTGTGTGGAAAACACTAACTGTGCACACTGGGCACTGTCCAAGTTAAAATACACACGAGTACTGGATGGGAATAGTGTTAGGGGTCAATATGTGTTGACTCTGAAATACCTGCCAAAAAGTCCCTGCTATGGCAAGACTTGGGACCTCACAGCAGCTGTTGTTTTTTACAGCATGTTATAGGTCTGGCTTTGGGTCTCCAACTGAGCATCCTCAGGGTTTCAGGGAGGTGTCAGTGAGTTCTGGAGTGTAGTTTGTGCTTTACAGTCAGTGCAGATTCAGTCAGTTCACTAACTGGAACTAACAGGAGTTTGTTTGGTTTTCCTTTTCTGAGTTTGACACCCAAATTTGCAGAGATGACGTATGCCCAGCACTGCACTTGCAGCAAGGGAGTGGGAGGGAAGGGATGTTGGAGTGTGGTTTTTCAGGACTGTGTTTTTTCAGGACAGGTTTTTCAGTAAAAGGACTGTTTAGTTCAGCCCAAGTGTCTTTTTTAAAGACTAAATCCATGTCTAGCATGAATCAAGGCACAGAAGGAGCAGAAAACAAGCTGGGAAACTGGACATTCCCTGGAGTGTGATGGAATTTGCTAGAATTTAAGGATTTTTACATTGATGTGTAGTAGGGCTTGTGTTTCACACAATATTAATGCTTGTAATGAGTCTTTGGGCATTGGATGAGGACAGGGAATGGGGGCACAGTTTTCAGCTGGGGAGGTTTCCTCCTCCTACTGAAAAGACCCAGACTTAACCTTGCTGTACAATTGATCTCATGCATGGTAAGGAGAATTTTGAGGTTTTTTCCTAGCCCTCTTCGAACTCTTCCTCTTTCTTCCATGCTTGCCATGATAGTAGTGGAGCACCCACCTTTTCCATCTGCTTCTCTGCAAACACCTGCCCATGCAATTCCTGTGTGCTTCACCTTGTGCTGAACGCGATGCTGTTCCTGGTGAGTCAAATCCAACGAGGCATCAAGATGATTTGACTTGTGCCTAGGCAAAGCATGGTGCTGAAACTCTCTTTTGGTTCTGCACCATGGGGAAACCCTTTATCCGAATGGGTTTGTGTTTCCCTGCCCCAGCTGTCCCCAGTCTCACATAGTCGCCCTTAGAGGTACACGCTTCGTGTATCTCATCAAGCAAGGCTTTGCCACCTGGGGCTGCTCTGAGAATACCTGATTTTTTCACTGCAATTTGGAGGGAGAAGCCTGTGTTCATATTCTTGCCTGAGGCACAGCATGGCTCTTGAGCAGGACTTGTATTTCTGGTTTCTTCACAATACCAACTCTATCAGCCAGACGAAAGCTGAACTCCAGTTTTTCCAAAGAGGGTCACAACAAGCTTGGCTAGAGCCTTGTGCCAGTTAGCTAGGACTACACAGAACACAGCCACTTGGTTCAAGCAGTCTCTCTCTCATAAACACATAGAGCACCTCAGTATCCTCTTGCTTCTCTGCTTTCATGCTCTGGTTGCTCAGAAATGGGACAGGATGCAGTGGAGCCAGCATATGTATGTATGTGTGAGTATGTACCTGTGTATGAAAGGTGTGATGAGCATGGTTCTTGCTTTTGGATAGTGTAAAGCTAGCATCCTTGCTGGTGGGAGAGCGAAGGCACAGCAGAGCTGATCCCACATGGTGTTATCTCTGATGGGGCAGGAGAACTGCTAAGAGTTATATTCTTAGCAGATCAAAGCTGCATTCCCTGGTGGAAGCTGCATTCCATGGTGGAAACCAAGTGAAAGCTTATTTGCCTGTTTGGCAGCCTGTAATTTAGATAGGGATAAGCTCGACCCTAACCCAGAAGCTAATGAGAGGGAGGAGACTGGGAATGTATTGAAAAATGCCCCGAGAAGAGAGGCAGATAACACAGAGGAGCCAAGCCTGTCTCTCTGTCCAAGTACTGAAGTACTGAAGCTTGCAAGGACAAGGGAGTCATGTGATCTGTGCTGGAGCACAGGCACCTCTCCTGCAGAGAGGGCAGATGCTGCACTAGGTCAGGATGTCTCATGGAGAGAAGCTGAGTGCTGGGAGAAGGATGGGAGGTTTTCAAGGAGCAGTACAACCTGTAGCTCTGAGAGGCAGGCTCTGGCATGAAAGTGTGAGCAGACTGGGGTTTCAGTTGCTCTGGAAGAGCTAGAACATAGCAGCTGAGCAGAAAAGTTAAACTAAT